TATCAGTCAAGGTTAACCACGACCTAAGATCCCCATAGGAAAGTACCAACATGGAAACACTGCTTTCATTTGCACTTTCTTGTGATTTATTTACATTTCCACCTCATAAATAGGCTTTTGTGTAGATATCCATAACACTTTCCACCAACACAACACACAGTTATTCAACCTGAATGCTGTTCAAGTCAGTCACAGCACCCACTTCCAAAATTAAACAAGAACAGCTAGGGCTGGCTCTTTACAGAGCACTTCCAGCCTCCTCATCACACACATCATCTCATCTGAGCTTCGACACTCCTTCACCCATGGCAGTATCTGCTTTACCTTTTCTAAGTCTGAACTGCCTCCATCCTTCATATCTCTGCAGTAGAATGCAAAGGTTGGAAAAATCTTGCTGTAAGCATATGTAGAAAGCTCTGCTAAAACACATGACAATTAGTCAGACTGCTGAGAAGTTCACTCAGGCAGCAGGGATGTGAGGCTCTCTCCCCTGCAACAGGGCTTCAGAGATGAAAAGCTCACTTGTAACACGGAAAGCCTCTCTGCCAAGTACTGCTGTACTGTACTCACCCTCTCTGAATCCCTTGAGATGTCTCAGGCACCAGAGGGCACATTTCCATGAAGGGGATTCAACAACACACAGGATTCAGCACTCTGCCCTCTCTATTCATCCCTCCTGACAGCACGCAGGCGCTCTGGGGACACAGCTCCCGGACCACACTGGGCTGCAAGAAGAGCATTTCAAATGCCAACAGAGTGAACAGACTGCCGCTGTGCCGAGGGACACGTCACACATTACAGCTTCATTTCAAATGACACCAAAAAACTGTTTTCTTTTACTATCTGAGATGAATGTATTACGTCTCTCGGTACAGGGCGCATGTAAGAAAGCAGCTGACAGAAGAGCGGGGAAAGAAGAACCCACACTATTAGCTGTCTGGTATTTATTACTTTTTTAATACAGAGAAGTCACAACAAAATATTCTCTAACAACACACGCAAATGATATCATAACCAATTATTTTAATTTCATCAACATTCATTTGCTATGTACATATTCTTCCATCTGCAAAAGTGCAATCCAAGAATGTCTCAACAAGAAACCTTTACGGACAAGTGTATTTTTGAGGGGTTTTCTCACCAGTGGCCTTACAACAACATTTGTGTCCTCAGTTACCTGGTACAGCGAAATGAAGAGTACATGAAAACAAAACAAAACTGTGTTAGATGCCTCCCTTGTAGGAATATTCCCTATTTTCCCAATTAAATTCATTATGAATACACTGCTCACTACTGGACACATTAATGCAAATAGACTGTAGAATAGTCTATGGGCTACAGAACACTGTAGTTTTCATGACTGCGGCATTAGATAGAACAAGAATTTCAGCCTGTTCACCTTGGTAGATGTCAAATTACGTGTCAGCATGTAAAAGACGTCCATTTTGTTAGTTACGGTTATCAAAATTTACTTTAAAATGTACTACTGATGGATGAATTCATTTACACATCCAAAATATTAAGTCTAGCTAAATGCAAGCCTCTCCTATGGAAAACATTGTTAACTACTGGAAAGAAAAGCATTTGCACATGCAACTCCTATTACTATCACAAGGAGTATCGTGCATTTCAAAAGAGTAGAATGTACCTCCAAATCCAGAGGACTGTATTCTCATTTACAAAGCATACTTCAGGCACAGTTTAATCTGACCACAGGCCAGACTAAAAAGAACACACAGCATCAGAAAAATGAAAGGTAGTGAAGAGTAAACTTCAGCCAAACAAGCAAAGCAAGCAGCTCCTTCCCTAGACAAATCATTTTCCTTTTGATACATTTAAAATCTCATGGTCATCACGATAGATAGCAAACCAAGTGCTGCCCAGTTCAATCTTCAGTAGCTATTAAGTCTCAAAGAAGTTAGCTTTGCCCTTGTGCTTATGCAACGCCCAGCCAAAAGGGTAGGCCTAACTGCTTGATTAGAATCTGATGCAAAACAAAATCTTACTGACATTTTGCAGTAACCCATGATCAGATTTCTGTATTAGCAAGAAGCAGAGAAAGCATTCTCTACAAACTGGTACAATTTACTTTTGAGGAAAACCTCAGAGAATCTTTGTTGCTCAGCTAGTTTCCACCGAGAATCACTTCTGCTGTTCTACGTCTGCTGCTAACCTCCAGTTGAGAGAGATGCTTTGCAAGAAAACAGGCATTTATTTCCACTATTGGCAGCAAAGACTCACTTAATAGCAAAATTAAAAGATCACGGAAAAAAAAATTGTCTTCTTTGATAGATTTGTACATAACTTCTCAATGTTAAGAATTTAAATAGGCATTTCCATTCCCACTTTCTCAGTCTGCTGCATTCTTGGTTTTGACTTGAATATACTGTATAACCTTTCATACGCTTGTGTTTTTAAAAATTAGCCAAATTCCCTTTTTTCCGCTTCTACTCTTACCTCGATTGTCATACATACATGTCTGGAGAAGCATCTAAGTACTTAAAGAATAAAATTATAAATTAAGCTACTATAAGGAAAGTAAATGAGAAAGTATTTAGAAGATCTCCAGATCCCACTTCTGCCCTACAGTGTGCATTGCACAGTGACACCTCTCATCACCAAATGTTTGAAAAAAATGGGTACAGAATGCTACTATTTTGCTATCTATGTAGTGCATGTGGTGATTAATACCCCAGGCTCAAAGCTTGAATGACTAGCACTCAAGATCAACACTTACACGTGTATCTTTTAATTTTTCTCATTACAGGACTTTTGTCTTTGCTGTGTGATTTTAGATTGCTGGAATCAGCCAGTACTTGCACTTTTAATCTGGTTCTCACAGTACTGCCAGATAAGGTGACTCCAAACCATCCTAAGTCCATTAGGTTTTGGGAACACACCATTGAAGCTGAACGGCCCAAGTTGTTAATTCAAACTATAACTTGCTTGTTCTGTACAAGGGAAGTCTGTAACGCACAGCTAATAATAATTTATCTGCTCGCCACCTCCTTTCAGCCCAGGTATGCCTGGGCCAGATCCTGTTCCTGTGGGCAACAATTACAGTGCTGGTACCACTGCAAATGGTGTAGATGTAACTGGGGTTTGTGTTAACCACACTAGAATGGTGTTAAAAGTCTCTGATTTTTTTCCCCACAATTTGTCTTCGAAAGGAAACAGGATTTCCCAAAACCTTAAAAACACACTCCTAGGGAGTGCACAACAAATGCACAAAACCCCAAGGATGTGCTCCAGATACAAACACATGGACAAGAAGTGAGGACAGGGCGAAGGGAGAGCTGTCAATGTAAGACAGCACAGCCTGCTAACATTGCTGTTCTGGCTCACCAGTGTTACTGCATGAGACAGCCCAGCCCTATCCAGATGTGTAAATTATTAGCTTGATTTGGCTTGCTTCTAAGGATATTACCACTCAAGTTAGGAGTAAGTGATCTTTGCCAACATAAGCCCTCTGTGCAGCTTGAGTACTATCTGAAGCGTCTAATACTAAAAAAAAAAGCTAATTCTGCAGAGAAGACAGGATAAAACTGTGAAAACATTTTTTATGCACAAAGAAACGTGGGTATTCAGTTCAAGTTTTATGTGCACATTATTTTCTTCACAGAATCACAGAATTGTAGGGGTTGGAAGGGACCTCCAGAGATCATCGAGTCCAACCCCCCTGCCAAAGCAGGTTCCCTACACCAGGTCGCACAGGTAGGCATCCAGGCAGGTCTTGAACATCTTCAGAGAAGGAGACTCCACCACCTCCCTGGGCAGCCTGTGCCAGTGCTCCGTCACCTCACCGTAAAGAAGTTCTTGCACACATTTGTGTGGAACTTCCTGTGCTGCAATTTCTGGCTGTTTCCCCTTGTCCTGTCTCCACTCACCCCTGAAAAGAATCCGGCCTCACCATTCTGCCCCCCCACACCTTAGATATTTATGAATCTGGATCAGGTCCCCTCTCAGTCGTCTTTTCTCAAGGCTGAACAGACCCAGTTCACTCAGCCTTTCTTCATAGGAGAGATGCTCCAGGCCCTTCACCATCTTTGTGGCCCTCCGCTGAACTCTTTCCAAGAGATCCCTGTCTTTCTTGTACTGGGGAGCCCAGAACTGGACGCAGTACTCCAGATGAGGCCTTACCAGGGCAGAGTAGAGGGGGAGGATCACCTCCCTCGACCTGCTGGCCACGCTCTTTTTAATGCACCCCAGGATGCCATTGGCCCTCTTGGCCACAAGGGCACACTGCTGGCTCATGGCCAACCTGTCATCCACCAGGACACCCAGGTCCCTCTCTGCAGAGCTCCTCTCCAGCAGCTCATCCCCCAGCCTGTACTGGTGCATGCAATTATTCCTCCCCAGATGCAAGACTCTACACTTGCTTTTGTTAAACCTCATCCGTTTTTTTTCTGCCCAGCTCTCCAGCCTGTCCAGGTCTCGCTGAATGGCAGCACAGCCTTCAGGCGTGTCAGCCAATCCTCCCAACTTCGTATCATCAGCAAACTTGCTGAGGGTGGCCACTATCCCCTCATCAAGGTCACTGATGAAGATGTTGAACAAGACCAGACCCAGCACCGGCCCCTGAGGAACACCGCTAGTTACAGGTCTCCAGCCAGACTCTGCATCACCAACGACGACCCTCTGCACTCTGCCAGTCAGCCAGTTGATTCTTAATTTAGCAGAAAGCATAGTTCTCTGCCCAGCGCATGCAATGCTTTTTTGGCTTCTGACTTTTTTGTTTTCTTTCTCCCTTTCTGACTTTTTTCTTTTCTTCTGAGGATGTGCAGTTATCAGGGTCATTTTCAAGATAGTGATTTCTACAGATACACTAAGACAGCAATTTGGGGAAAGTCGAAAAACCTCAGAAGAAACAAAACGTAATCCCATCTCATGGAGAATCAAAACCCACACCTCTTGAGTGACCATTCCACAAATACACTGTGAACAAAGAAAGCTCTTGCAAGCATCTCTGCCAGCCTGAATAACCAAGTAAAATATCAGTGACCTATTAAAACTTTTATTGAACCTATTTAAAAACTTTTATTTATGGAAGGAAAAAGCGGGGAGTGAAAAACAAAATTTGCAGATTCTACAGGGCCAACCACTATAACACAAATTCACTGCCTAATGCACAGACCACTATATACAGCACAGAGGCGTGTAGAAAGTAAATACACTAAGTCTGCTTTCTAAAAAGTCTTCAAGATTTTAGATCCTGGTCTTTCTGAACTTTTGAAAGACAATGGTGCAGCAATTCATTGACTTAAAAACCAATGCCATGTGTCATATTAGGTGCCTTTCAGCTCTTACAGGTCTGATAGCCCAGATCCCACTTCGCGGTCTTCTTTCCGAATCAGTCAAACTAGTCAGCAGTGGGAAGCAATGCCCCAGCCCCAGCAGACACACACAAGCATCCCCATTCAGTTCAGCCTGTTCCTTCCACTTATCATGAGGTTCTAAAACATCTGTGAAGAAATACCTTTAAATAAAGCGTTTTAAGATATTCAGCTTGTTTTGGTATAAACAAATGACCCAACTGGTAACATTACAACACTGGTGGAAGCAGCCCTATTGCCATACGATCAGTCAGTGTGGGTAACACACACCAAACATACATGGCAGGAAGACACTATGCCAAAAAATAATTCAAGATTACCTTTTCTGGCACAGATTTACATTCACTTGTCACAGTATCTTATTGGGAAACTTGAACAAAAGCCCACAGAAACGATCACACGTCTGGGATACGTATGCACCTGCCCCCATTGGGATGCAAGAGACTTGATGAATTTAACACTAATGGGACAACTTCTTTCCAAGGATTTCCCTTTTCCACCATGCTAGAGGGACAACAAACCTACACAATTACCCACCTGCCACCAGCATATATTTCTGCATCCTGTACTCTCCACGCCCTTCTATCAACTGTATTACAATAATACAAAAAACACAACCAAATAATTATAGCTGAACATTTTATCCCCACACCTGGGATATATTCAAAGGCCATTAAAATTGGCTTGCCTCCAGCCTTGACAGAGATCTCATCAGGAGGATTCTGATTTAACAACATGTATATATACATATTCATATGTACACAGACAAAGAAGCTGCTCTTTCAGTTAGAAAAGAAAGTAATTTCATCACAGAATGAATTCTATAAAAAGATATGTAATAAAGTTGAAATACCCATAAAATAACTATTACTAAAGCAAAGCTTTCGTCAATAAGCCTCCAAAACTTTAAATGAAGAAAATGGCTTCACGAAGTGGTAGTCTAGGTTTCCACAGTGCGGACACTGCTGGACGTTGCTGTATTCGGAGAAATACTGCATGCCAATCCGTACATCTATTACTGGCTTCCCACAGTGCTTACAGTTCAGTCGAGCCTTAAGAAAAAAAAAAAAAAAAAAAGAAAAAAAAGAAAGAAAAAACAAGAAAAACATTTTTGAAATAACCAGATTCACTTCCATTCCTCACCTCAGCAAGAAACACACTGCCCTGGCCTCTGGTAGTTAACAGCTTCAGTCAGGAAACCTGCAGCCATGGCACCTGCCAGTAAGGACATAGTTCACCCAGACCAGTAAATTACAGGCATGCAGATTTTTTTCCACATGAAATAACATCTATAGCCCATAGAGTCTACAACTCAATATCATCCACTGTGACTGACAGGTGGTTTAGAGTTTCAAAGCTCATATATGCACAGAGCTGCTTAGTGTTGGTTCACCTCAGAACAAATTCATGCCCTTGGCATATGAAGTGCTGTCTCAATAAATCACAAAAGCAGCCCTTAAGTGAGGAGGGAAACTTCACATGCGTGCCATGCAATCCTTACCCTAGAGCTCTCACTGTGTCTTTTTAGGTTTACATTCTGATCTCTCCACGAGATGTATCAGCACTTTAATCTTTTAGTTTAACAATCTAATCTTTTCGGCTTGACAAACGTATAACTCAATTTACTTTATCAGTATGGCACAGTATTTTATCTCTTTAAATATCTACTTAAACATTTATAATACACACCAGGTTACATAAACTGTAGGTCACTTAAAGCTTTTGTCACTTTTAAAACTATTTTACAAAACCCAACTGAGGCAGGACCAACATTAACTGAGTAGATAGGAGAAACAATTAAAATTGAAGGGTAAGGGCTGGCAGAGCTATTCATGATCAGCATGAAAAACAACAAAAAAAAGTTTTCAGGAGACATCTAGCTGAGAAAATAAGCTCATTTCCTGTACAGAAAGCTCAGCAGGCAATACAAAAACACTCAGGAGAAATGGAGACTTAAGAATCACAAAGGAGGTTAAGAGTAAAGATGACAAAACAAGCAGCGAGGGCCTGATACATACCACAGCTTAACCCCATAGACCTACATGCCAGTGAGAGCATGAGAGCATTTCTTCACTGAAAAGAACAAATGATTTTTTCTGTATCATCTTTGACTTAATGTATTTTCTTGGGAGGAGGAAGAAATTATTGAAGTACTACTGCTGTTGAGACAAGACTCAAGAAGAAAGAAAACAAAGTCCTCAGATATCTGCCCTGCTTGAAATGCAGAAACTGTAAGAAATACAGTCTAATAGGGAATGGATTTACAGTATTTTCTTTTAAGAAGTGTGCTTTTTCCTCTTGTTACAGTTCAGCCCATCAGCCAGCTGCAAGCAACCTGACAGTGGCTGTAGTTCATTATCTTACAAGCACATTCATGGAGTACAATTAAATATTTTGAAATAAGGTACGCAATTATTCAAAACAGAAATCAGAAAGGCAATTCAGAGTTATATTATACACAATATTTAAATGTCATTCCTCTGTATGCCCCAAATCATCTGTAACAATTGTGGTGAAACAATAATATGTATCAGCCAGCAATCACACACACTGAAGCTAATGGTTTTATATTCAGTTCTATTACTTACCTTGTACTGTCACACTGTCCATTAATCATACAATTAAGATTCATGTATAATGAGACCTTAATTCTTGTCTTGCACATTCAATAGAAGCAATTCAGATTTAAATTTCCTCTATTTTACTGAACTAGCAAGTAGCATCAATGTTTTATAACTGAAAATCCCCATTTTAAAGTAGCTAAAATCTCAAGAAGCACAAAAAATGAGGTAATGTCTTAAGTTATAATCAATATATATAACTGATATAATATATATTACACCAATATAATCAATGTCATTTTTTTCCAGTTCCAGGAACTCCTCTTGTCTTCTCAGCATCAGTAGAAATGTTAAATTTAAAATTAAATTCAGTTCCACATACTGGAAAAACTACATTGCAGTTGTCTCTTGTACTGCCACATCTTTAAGGCCAGGGGTAGTCTTCCTTTTGAGCCTCCCTCAGAAACTGCCTGGAACTCCGCAGTAGTAAGAAACAAAGACACTGCAAAGCTCTGTGGAAAACATCCACAACACCATGAAGTGGTGGAATGCAAATATCTTGGCAAGCACCTGCTCTAAGTCAGTGACAAATCCTGCCTGTTTGAAGGCAATGGCTGATTTTGGTTTCATGGGTATGGCCACTAAGCAATCATTACATTAGCTTTTGTCTGGCTCTACAACTACCTCCACAACAAAACTGCTGAGTTTCCACTCCTCAGAAAGGAAGATATCTTGGATGCTGATGGTCCTGCTGCTTCAGGTACGTGTCTACTTTGGACTAACCTGAAGCCTTGACTCCTTCCTACCAAAAGCATAAATTAGGTGAGCATTTAATGAAAGTTAAGCTTCTTCAGGCTGTGGCAGGATACCATCAACACAGTCAGTCACAGAAAAGATTAAGGAGAGATGGGTATCTCTATGCACAAAGACCCTTTATACCTTTCTGTTTTCCTGGCTTTTTTACTACATTCATCTTAGGATAAAACAACCCTCAAGCAACTAGAAACTTGAATCCACAGATCACCTGCTAAACAATGTTCAAGTATTATTAGAATTGTATATGATACCACAGATACCACTTCCTAGTGATCATCCCAAGCATCAGCTTTGATTGTGAATGCATTTTATGGGGATTTATATGAAACAAACAAAATATAACAAGCACTGTCCACTGACCATTACATTAGCTTTTGTCTAGCTATAGGCCTTTGTACTCCGTAAGTTAAGATCAAGGGACAGAGACTCAGTCAGCTTTCTTGTACTGCACTCATAGGCTGCAAAAGAAGGGTGAAGGAAGGGATGGAAAAGAGAAACACAAACCTTTATTATCGTTAGTGGAATTTCACCTTAGGAGTCTTACGTATGATACTGACCTGACAACAAGGAGATGCTGCCAGAATATCATAGGTATACATAGTTCCCAGTTGATGCCAGCTTCCATCCCATCGGGACTTGCACTTAATGCAGATAATTTTGTGAACCCCTTCTAAGCAGTCTACACAAACAGCATAGAGATGCATAAGCCTTCCTGTGGACAGGAAACACACTTCTTAAGGAGACTGTAACAGAAGATTAAAACAGACATTTCCCACAATGTGTTATTTGCCCTTTAGTGACACAAATCATACCTTATTAAAATCTTAATTTCAAAAAGAGTGAAAGATAAGCAAAAAAAAGTGTTTCTCTATGGAAAATACATAAGACTTGACTGAAGATATTTACCATAGGCGTGAAATTCAGGAAAAAGTCAACACTGCCCATTTCTGATCCCCTTGTTCCTCTATGTGCTATAGACTTTAGCAAAATACTTTATAAAAGTTGCCTAAACCAAATGAGCAGATGCCAGGTTATTAAGCTATATGATCAGTTGCAGTTTTTCCAACAAGAAGACTGTGCCTTAGCTACATCCCCACCTGACACAGAAAGCGTAGAAGTGTTGAAGCTTTTTAGCAAGCTGGGTAAAGGCTCATTTAACAGCTTGCCAAAATCTTCCAGCAAGCAGAGAACTAAGGAACTAATCTTCCTTGTGGGAAAAAAAGCAACAACTAGATGAGCAACTTTCTTTTCCGTACATTTTCCTAACAATTCATTGATAGTAAACATTACATATTACACAGATTTTAACATGCCATACAAACCTATGTTTCAAGCTCTATCACAAACTTAAGCTCCATATACACAATAACTTTCAAAAACTGATTTATACTGCCTTCCAAAAAAATCAACAGATTCAGATTTTAAAACAAAGTATCTTCTCCGCACAAATGTCACTGAACACAACAATGCAAAATCCAAGATGTGAGCTTCACTACAAAAAAGACATTGAGGCCCTGGAACATGTCCACAGAAGAGCAATGAAACTGGTGAGGGGTCTGGAGCACGAGTCTTATGAGGAGCAGCTGAGGGAGCTGGGATTGTTCAGTTTGGAGAAGAGGAGGCTCAGGGGAGACCTCACTGCACTCAACAACTTCCTGAAGGAGGTTGTGGTGAGGAGGGGTTTGGCCTCTTCTCCCAGGCAACAAACAGGACCCGAGAAAATGGCCACAAGTTGTGCCAGAGGAGGTTTAGGTTAGACATGAGGAAGAACTTTTTCTCTCAGCGGTCAGGCACTGCAATGGCTGCCCAGGGAGGTGGTGGAGTCGCCATCCCTGGCAGTGTGTTCAACAGTGGATGAGGAGCAATGAGATGTGGTTTAGTGCTTATGGTAGCAATAGTAGTGAGAGGGCGGTTGGACTAAATTATCTTGCAGGTTGTTTCCAACCCTGCGATTCTACAATCCTTCCCACAAAACAAAAAGCCTTACGCAAATTACAAAGATCTCAAATCTACATAGGTCTGATTTGCAGGGACTGATTCCATCCGCAGTTTAGTAGTGGACTTACACAGGGTATTAATTCTGTAATATATCACATTTTGCACAGCTACACAAGAAAAAGTTAAGAAGTAATGCAGTTACAAATCAAATACAAAACAAGACTGACTGCATACAGACAGTGCTTTGTTGGACTGCAATTCGTGCTCATTAGCATCAAAGCACTGGACACATCACAGTTTGTAATTTAAAGAGCAACTTGTGCCTTTTCTACATAAGTGAAATAAAATATTAACAAGATATGATTTGTTCATACCAGATACTTTAAAATTAATGGATTACTTTTAAATTGTTTGATTTTTAAATCAACTACTCTAGAAAAAACGAAAAGGAAAACCACATTCTTCTTAAAATATAAATACACAAAAAAATTTGTTGGTATGAGCTGGTAAATTGAGTTCCTCCAGAGTGTTCAGCTTTAGAAAATGTAACAAGCTCTGTTCCTCGAGATTGGAGACTTTCAAGTAACTCCATGCACTAAAGCTTTCTGTTGCAAAGGAGGACAAATAGTTCTCATCATCTTAAGTTGTGCTTCTGCGTATTACAATGCTGAATTTCCCCACCACTTAATTTTCAGGATCCTACAGAGTACTTCCTATGCTATAGGAAATGAGACTCTTGGTATCTTAAACATGCATGAAATAAAGAAGTGATTTTCTTTACTTAAGAGAAAATAACACCCTGGAACAGCACCTTGCAAGCATAATCTCATTGCAAAGCTGAGAACAGTAGTTCTGATAATAAACCACTTTACCCAGGATAACAAGGTAAAATTTTTAACAATTAATTAGTCACAGCATTTTGTCTGAATACGTTTTTCAGGTGTACCATCAAATGGGTGAGGAGCAATTAATGAAAAAAAAATCAAAACCAAACAAAAAACACACTTGGCAGAGTTTCATTCCTAGTGGCAAACAAGTTAACAAGTGACAAGTTCCACTCTTTCTAAACCAGCTATTAGGACTGATTGTGCATGCCTCCTCACAACAGCCAATAAGCAGTTATCTCACAGAGGTATATTCTGTTTATCTTGCAGATTTTTCAACTCCTAAGTTTTCCTATCACTTTTTCCCTTTAAAGTATATTAGGTAAGACAGAAATGATAATATTAGCATGAATACAGGTCAGTGACTTAGCACACAGTGATTTAAATAAAGAAAACAATACAAAGTTTGCTGAGCAAAGGAACATTATTATATGACAGATATTATGGCCACGCATGAGATATAACAAATTTAACAAAAGGAGAGCAAGTGCTAAAATGCCTCCTGCTACTGCATTCCCATTACACTTTTCAACACAGAACTTCATGTTTTTGAGCACTAAACTAACTCTGACTTGTGTTAGCCACACTGGCTGCCAGCAGACGGCAGGACAGATGTGTTTTGACCCTATCACTCAGTTTGAGACATACTTTTCGGGAAGAGCTGAAGCTCATCCCAGTCCATGTTTGTTTACTTCTCTGGGAGGAGAAAAACAACACATCCCTTGGCCCTGGCTCAGCACAGAGCTGGGACACGGTCAGGGTGCTGACCAAAGAGGCGGGAATTTGAAACAACATCTAAATCCCTCACTACTCCATCACCACTTCTTCCCAGAACGATAAAAGCTTATTTTCACTATGTCCAACCTCTCCAGGCACAGCATGCCGAAATGTATGCTGTTGATGTATGTCTTGGAGGAAAACTCACAACATATAAATCAGTACATACACACTGCAATAAGGTGGCTGAAAAATCTTCCTACAGCCTATCTAGTAACCTGGTAAGATATCTCCTGGTTGTAAACAAATCACAAGGCATGGATCTTTCTACACAGTATTTGTTTTTTGTAATTCCTGCCAAGAATTTCAACCTGACCCACGCTGCAATTTGAACGTGCTTCCAAGCCTTAGAGTGCAACTCAAAAATGCTGAATCAGAATGAAAATTTAAAATGGGGAGTGGGGTATGGAAAGCAGTCCCACCACCAAATGAAACCTAGCATGACGGACAGACAACCTGTACCTTGAAGGTGACAGGGAACATCATATTCAATTTCATCGTGTCTCGATGGGCTAAGAAATAGGGTTCCATCCACCAGCGGAAACTGTTCAAACACTGGCAATGCCCTGTGGCACAGTGCACAGTTCACAACATTCCTGTGGCTGGCACTAAGAGCAGCAAGAATAAACTTCCGCAGGTCCTCCCCTTGGCCCACCTGGGCATCATCTTCCATTCGCACATGAAAAGTATTCAATTTATGCCTGGGTATGTGAGTGAGAAGCTCGGATAGGTCAAGCCTTCTCAAAAACTGCACAGGGGCATCAAAGTGTCCCGACCGATGTGCTTGCAAACCAGCTGCCCCATAATCAAAGTGCGCATTCCTGAACATTCCCCCTCCAGCCATGTTCTTCTTGTGTGGCTCCAGGTGGATGGCATTCTTTAGAAACTCTCCTAAGTATCGTGATGAGCGGGGGCCGCTGAAGTGGGTGGGGGCGAGGATCGAGTAGCCGGTTGGTGGGGACTGCCCAGGAGAGACGCAGGGGGAGCGAACGGCATAGCTGCCACCTATAACACTCTTCTCTTGGGAGTTCTGTCTGTCCACTGAATGCCTTCGCTGGATGTCATGACTTAAGCCCTTTTGCGGCTTGCTGGCTGGCCTGCCCTTTTTGGCCTCTTCTGCTGATTCCACCATAGACCTCCCTGTGCTCTTCTCTAACACTGATTTCTTCTTCTTGTCATCCTGCATTCGTTTCACCTGGTACCAGTCAGTGTCCTTCTTCAAATGACCCTGCCCACACCGACAGGAGCAGAAGCGAAAAGCGAGGTCGTATCCCTTCTTTGTCCACATGTTCTGGCGACACTGCTTCTCATTCCAGCTCCTTGCTCTGCCGATGCAATTGAACTGGACAAGAATGCTGCTTTCCCACTCATAGAAGCACTGAAGGTGCATCCAGGTGCTGTAAGGGCAGTGCTCGTTGTTGCATATAACCTTCTGGTAGTCATCCTTCTCAAGGTCCACTGGCCTTCCAAAGCTACAGATCAATGGAGTAGCACAAGGGGCTTCTGTGGAACAAAAGCAGACACATTAATAATGTAGGCTGCTTGTGGCCTGTTCATCACACTGCTAGTTTAAATGCTGTGCCAAATACAAATGTGATTCTCACTCATGCTCCACATTATGAAAGAGTCTACAAGCGTTAGGTCTGGGTCAGAACAGAAACAGTCCCTGACAGAACAAAAGAAAAAAAAAAAAAAAAGGAAATGGAAGAAGCTATAGAAAGAAAGGAAACAACAGTAAGGAAGCAAACAGACAATACAAATAGTTCAGTATTCAAAGACAAAGAACCTCAGAAGCATTAACCCTCCTCAAAGGCTCTGTAGACATCACTGCATAAACAAGCTTTAAGCAAAAAGCTTTGTGAACGTTTCTGGAGGACTTCTTTGAAGTCTGAGAAGCAACACAGAAAAAACACACAGAGATGCTGGTTTGAAAAATAAGAAGGTAATACAGACGGACTTTGCAGTCACAAGAAAGCCATAAACTGATCTTTTCTTCAGGAATGAGCAAGATAGAGGGGATAGGGAGGCAAACAGGAAACAGAGAACTCTGAACAGCAAGACAAACAGCTCATGTTTCTTGTACGGAAAGGAAGGCCTTCATTACATCTTCAGGCAAACAGAGGATATACTGCCATTACTGATCTACTTGACAGCTAAATTTCACAAACCAAACAGTTAGCAACACAGGCTGGTTAAAAAGCCAAATGTCACATGGTCTTTTATCAGCAAAGCAGCAGCCTTTGCTACATTCTTGAGTAAAGGATGGAGTATTTCAATTCTCTCCCTGTAACAGTATCAAATACACAGATGTTCTGTATTTATGACCAATAATTTTTTCCCCTCCCTCACCTAAATACCACAGGCTATGGAATACTCCAATTACCATCTGCACAGTTGCAGCTGGAAAGCAAGAAATTTTCATGTTGAGCTTCCACTGAATCTGAAATGAGTCTAATCATGAAGTTTTGGATGCTGACTCAAATATGACATAAATCTGTTTTGTTTTGGTTTGATTTTTTATTAAACTTCCTACGTCAGCAAAAGAAACACCATTCCAGCAGGGCTGGCAGGCTGCCTTTTTACCTCTGCTCTACTGAATTCAAGTAATTGCAGGCTTCTTTAGGTCTTCCCCATTCAAGTGCTGCCTCACCCAGCACAAACCAACACAGCAGACTCCCTGGATCTCCCAAATTCCAGTCAGAGCCCAAGGACTTGCAATGGAGATGCACCATACCTCATCACAACAGCCTGCTGCAGACTCACTGTTTTTCCCTAGGATTTCTACCTAATAAGCCAGGAAAAAAACATATATATATATATACATACATATATATATGTTTGCACTGTCTTTAATCCAGCTCTTGTCACTGCTAGCCTGAATAATGTAACATAATTTGCACAGGGGTGATGGGTTTTTTTGCAGTTACATTCACTTTTACTTTCAAAAAGACACAGTACCCATAATCACCTGCCACACAGCAGCAATACATAAAACATTTTGCAACAACAGGTCATTAGCATGCTAGTGGTTTTGCCCCTTTGTAGACTCTTGCTAGAAGCAAACGTAACACCTTCAAGGTAACCTTCAAAAAATTCATCATCACTGAAGATCTTCAGACTTATTTACACAGAACACATGGGCACAAAGGACAAGATTTTCCCAAGCTCTTCCCTGGAACAAGCAACATCGTACATATTGCTTCTCTGCCTCAAACACCTGAAACAGCACAGATTCAAGGAGAATTTGTTTCAATACCTTTCCTTCAGGGACTGAACTATGAACTGCAACAAGGGCACATTTTGGAGAACATTCTTCTGAAGCAGAAAAAGCCTTCATCAGTCATAAAAAGGAAAAGAAGGCAGATGACCAAACTGGAGAGAATGGTGCTAGATAAGAGGAGCATCCCCTCAGGTCTCTTTAGGAGTTCCTTCTACACAGGTGACATTCTTCCCCCACTGATTGTCTTAGGTGTCTAAAAAGTCCACTAAGAACATACAGGCTTTAGGTTATCACTTGAGAGCCATGGATTTCACTGGCAAACAGTGACTGATTGTTCTCCACGTTTTTTACTCCATATTATTGAGCATAAGGACAGAGGCTATGAGCAAAAGGAAACTATAACTTACCTGCTCTGAATCAAACCCTGTGAGGCTACCAACACCAATTTCCTTATATTCTCACAGAGTATCACCTTTGATTCAAGTCACACCAAGCATCTCTGCAAAGTTTTTCTTCATTGTCAGTCACTCTTTTATCATATTTAGGAACTGACAGCATAGTTTGCAATTACAGCATCTGATGCAGTTTATCTCAGAAAAAAAACCAAAACAGATAAAGTGAGACCAATGAAGGCAAATCATTGTGTGCAGTAAGATGCAAGTACCACCACAGACACCTTTCACACATTTTCCTACATTTACCTATTCTAGTATGAATTCTTATACACCACTGCCAGAATGCAAGAAGAAAGGACATGCCAGCAATTTACTTATGGTCCCCCTGTGATCCAGAGAGTAAATGTTCTAACAGCTGCACACATAATTATAGCTGACAGCCAGGAACATAACTGCACAGACATGTCTAGAGATCTCCAGTTAAGACCGTACACTTGTTCTTCCATACTGGTAACACTAATTGACTAGAAAATAAAGGTATTTCACTAATGAGACTTTAAACATGGTTCTGGCTTCAGATGAAAAAGTACATGATCATTAACTCTCTACAAAGTTTACTGCCTCTTCACGATGTGGACAAAAATTGAGATCAATAAAGGAAGTGTCTGAAATACAGAAAAAAAAAATCAAAGCAGCCTGTGTGTTCAGCAGAATGTACTCATAATTATTTGATTATAAACATGTTCTGTATGTCTACAGACTCTTAAAGGTGATTTTCAACAGATTTTTCTTCTTTTCAATAGTCTGGACCTGCATGTTCCAGGACTGTGGAATGTGATCTTCTCCAGCTATTCCTTGAGAACTTAGCTACCAGATTAACTGTGACTTTCCCAACTAATCTAACTATGAGGAAGAAAAAGATTTCTGTTTTTGACAGTGATGTCCTTCTTCTTTTTTTTTTTTTTTTTATTTACCTTAATTAGACGACAACATCTAATTAGATTTTAGACATTTTCTCATCCGATCTACCTACTCAGTGTAAATTGGCCGCACATCAATCATCACAGCAGTAGCAGGTCTAGGACAGCTGTAAGGCAGCAAGAGAGCAAACAAAATCCTTTTCCCACACAAAAGACTCAATTGTTAAATAGTGGCACTGAGATTTCTCTGGAAAACATTACCAAGAGGAGAAGCTACTCCTTACAAACCTCTTCTGGGAACTCATGTGAAATTTCACTGGCATCCCTGTGGGAGCACAGGAAAGACTAGAAAAACCAGCAGGTCTCTACCACATGGCCACACTCCTGCAGCACAGCAGCATTAGACAAGTCATCTGCTCACATTTTTTTTTGCTGCTTTCATTGACAGAAGTTTCTTGTTACAAAGTCTGCTGATTTTGAGGCATTGATAAACATGGTGAAGCATTTCCACAACAACCTGGAACATTTATTCTGGCTAATGAAAGTTGCTTCAGCATAAAGCCCTAACACTTCTGTGGTACCAGCATAGTTAAGAAGACAGAAATCTCCACTCACTGAAGGAGGATTGAGCCAATATTCAGTTCAGTCTAATATTACAAGTCTCATTAGGTCTATCTGAGCAAAACAGACTTAAGGACAAAATATCCCCTCAAACTTCTCTTTATCAATGTTTCCATCCAAACACAGTCATGCTATATGTTCCTAGATAAAAAATAAATGAGCAACGGAAAAAAAAGAAACTTTTTTGTGAACTTTACCAGTTCACAGCAATGGCTGTGCCACATGAGCAAGAATGCCAGCATTCAGATTACTTAGTATGAGAGCCACACTAGCAATTGTGAGCAGACATTCTCATCAATTCGCACTCTCAAGAATGCTTTACATTATTTCATCATTTTCCAAGTGAGACAAAGCACTTATTACAGAATTACAAAACCAAACATTCTTGTAATCAAACCCTTCTATTTCCTGTTAATTAGGAATGTATTTCAAGACTGTTCATCAAAAAGACTGACATAAGATCAGTATGTTTGTGTTCTACTGTAGCAGTACTGTAGTTACCATCAAGAGATACTCACAAAAAAGGGAGTAAATTGAATTTCAGGTGAGCCAAACTATCCATCCATATCTGCAGACCCAAGCTGGTTTGTCACCTGAATATAAACTGATTCCAAGAATCTAATATGCCATCAGACTTCTAGTTTACAAAGTTAAAAAGAAAAAAAAAAACAAACAAACAGGAAAAATGAAAGACTAACAGGTATCAGAGAAGCATCCGCTCTTCTGAAAGAAAGCCTACTGACTATAAAAGTATCTCTATTTTACCTTTCGGATTCAAGATGTTTCTCGTAGCCTAAGAGAACAAAACAAGACAGCAGGTAGTTTTGTGCAGCAGAAGAGCTTTGGTGTGTAGACCCATGTGCACAGCTGTAATGGGCAGGCTGCTGATTTGGAACTACTACTGCACACTGACTCTTTCAAGAATTTATGGTTCCACATAAAAAAGAAATGTTTTCTCATATTCCACTATAGTGATTTTCATCAGTAATTCTGAATGTAGTTTTAAAGGGAAGCTCATAAATATCCTCTAAAATAGAAATAGTATGTAATGATTCTGAGTAAATATACATCTGGGCAAAGATCGCTCACTGTTTAAACAAGATTATATTTTTGACAGAACTACCATAAAATTAATTTTTCTTTCAAAAACAAGAACATGATGGAAGATTACAAGGAAGCTATCTGGTTTGGGCATTTGGCTTTTTCTCAGTTTTTCCATTCAGGTTTAAATACAAGTAGACTTCAGGAACAGAAACAAACGAGATAAATCTCCTTCAGCATAAATCACATTTACCTGTTTCTACACACACACAAAAAGGAAAGACTTTAAGACAGTATATGAAACCCACTCTTCCCTTTATGTGACACAAATGAAAGCAGCAGAACATCCGTCTCAGAAACTTCTCTCTGATGAAGTAAATGGAGGAGAATGTTGTTTACTTCTGTTTACACACCCATCAGAAAAGCAAAGATGCAACCAGCAAGCCAAATGCCATGACTCCATGGCTTCGGTTTCGTGACTGTTCTCATTTGTTCTAAATCCTAAGTGAGGGTGCCTAAAGCAAAATTAGCTCTTTCCTCTATGTTCCCACATCATCCATTGTGCAAGCACCAGAGGTTTTCAGTCAGAGAACAGAAACAGATAATTATTTCCTGTACTAGCCAGCGTAGGTTTCAGCTCACCACACAGACATAGGACTGTCAGTAAAGCTCAAAGAATAATACTAAGAAGGCAAGGCTAGGTGCAGAGGAAGTAGAAGCAAGGTTCTGAAAGAGGCAGCCCTACTGTCATCTTAAAGCAACTGTGAGAAGACAGTAGGTTGTTATGGATCTGGAAACAGAAACGTTAAAAAAAAAAAAAGCTAAGGTCTCAGCACTGATTTAGCTGCCAGATACCTACAACTGGTTGCTACCTACTATTTGATCTGCTACCACTCTAGTATCTCACCACATATGCCAAGGATGTTGTACTTGCCAGTACATTACCTAGGCCAGAAAAGGTACCTATGCAACACATATGTTGCACTTGAACCTTTACTACCACTTTTGCATGGACAGCATTCCCATCCCAGACTTACACTGCCAAAACCTGTTCACTCTGCCAACTTCAACTAGACATGAGTTATTTCTGCAGAAGGCTACTCCCACCAACCATTTCCATGAATCTTCACTATTTCCTCTACCATCAGGATAGCTTTATTTTAAATTGAAGTCAGACGATACTACCATGCTAAGACTGTAATGCAACTGGAAAAAAAACAAAAAAACAAAAAACAAAATTATTAATTGCCCTGTGTGTTTGCTTTGTAAACACCAGAATACAGTTTGATATGTAAAAGATTACCAAGAAGTGATAACACAGTATTGCCATATACTCATTGCATAATGAGTTAAATAGCATAAACCATATAGCATTGCAGAAATAATCAGTTACCTTCCTAGGAGACCAAATGGAACAGGAAGAATACAATGGGAAAAAGCATTTCATAAGTGGATCTAAAAAGGCAGTCATGGATGTTCAGTGAAGCAACAATAACTAACAGCAGACAAACACTGATAATACTCGATGATGACTATCCAAAACTTCTGGCAATCTATGCAGACTGATGAAGATTAGTTTGCAGCCATACTCTAGAAGGAAGGGGAAGAAACAGGACAGCAGTACCTTCTAAACCACCCAAAATGTAGGCTTCTTTCGAGACTCCCTGTAACACCCTTGAAAAGAAAAGCCAGCATCGGAAGTTCATCTTCAACAAGCAATGCAGGAGAACAGCCCAGACTGACTTGATCCCTGCTGCAAACCCACCAGCCTCCTCCCTAAGAGCCACTGTCTCCAGATAAGCCCTCATCACAATGGGAGTCTGGCTCAAAGCTTTCCACAGCTAATCACTTGCATGTTGTCACTTAAGTGCTGAGCTGGGAATTGAATCTTACCCTCAAGAGCCAAATAGCAGTGGTCAATATTTACACTTGGAAGGGACTTAAAGAGATCAAAAACTCTACCTGGCAGTTTATCCAATATGCAAGATGTCAGGAGCTCTACTATGTGAGTAGTCACATGAGGTGACCACTCTTCACAAGGGAAGACTTGGGATAATCTAAAGTTGCTACTCTGACTCACCCAGAAATTCAGATGAGACTCCCGGAGGGCTCAGCAGCACTAGAACCATCTACACATACTTCACTTAAGCTGACTTCATACTTGCCCTCAAAGGCATCTCTTCCCTAGAAAAGCTGAAAGAAGCTTAACAGCTACATAGCAGTGGGAACGTGCAATGGAAATCATGAAGGCATACCTGTCATGTTGACGCCTTCTAACCTGAAGCACTGCCAGAACAAATGCTTGTTTATGAAATCAATGATTAGCACATGATACAAAGTTGGTACTGTTTGTGGCTCTCAATCAATCTCTTACACCCCATTCAGTCATCACCTCAACAAAGTAAGTCAGAAAGTCAAGAGCAAAACTGTACATACTAAGGAGGGGAGGCACCTACATGAGCACAGAAGTTTTGCAGTTTGCTTACACAGCAGCCACTGGTGCTCCAGGCGGGATCAACTGCCAACACAGCTGGTGATAAAATCTTACAGAAATCATCAACATCTACGTTGTTGTCATTCTCTAGTCAAACTAGCCAGCTTATTTCCATTCAGAATCTGTCATCAAAACGCAAAGAACAACAACCCCATCACTTGGCCTTTCGTTCAGGATGTACAGAACTTCCCTGCATAGGAATCCTTCCCTGACTTGCTGTATATACTTAACCCAGGTAAAAACATCACTAGTTCACCATATCAGGCAGAACAAACTCATGCCTCTACTTCTATCAGCATGACAATTAATGTCAATGTATTCCTTTAACTGTCACATTAATTCTGAATTGACATCGCCAGGCCAAATAAGGATTTTTACAGAGACCTCTGCCATGGTGGCTGCAGAGACTGGAGACAGTCTCAGGACTGGTGGGCATTAGTATGCTCTGAACCTTGGTTGTGGTCTTGTCCATACATTAATCATTGTCACAGCAAAGCATTTCTACCATTAAATTCTCTTGCTGTAGCCTTCTATAGAACTAAAATATCCAGAAATGTTACAATAAACTAACTCAGGTGTCTCAAAAATATCCTTATATCTAACAAATTCTAATAACTAAAGTAGATTCCAATTCACCTGCCTTAGCAAGTTTCCAGTAGTAAATTCTAACTCATGCTGAGAATAAATGAATAAATGCAATATGGCAAATGAAGGTGTCCTAAATCACTGTAGGTTTCCTAAATCACTCTTTGAAGTAAACATGGTGGACCCAATTTGCTCAGAATAAAAGCCAGTTAGCCATGAGACCCCGCTCAAATGCACAAGAAAAAGAACAGTAAAAAGAGAAAAGGTTGAATCAAATGGTATCTGCACATTTTTTTAAATTTCAAGTCTAAGGGTGTTTGTATCATTGGTCTACACTTTCCAAATTCCAACACAACAATATTTTTATTTTCCACGTGAAAGGCTAAAGAAGCTGGTATAAACTCGATGGGAAGCTGGAGATGAAGCCGCCCTGGCTGCAACAACTAGCATCTCTGCAAGACAGCATCTCCTGAGGTTGAAGCTGTCGGTTCCAATAGATGTCTCTCCCACTATGCTGTGTTGGCTTCCAGCCCCGCCTCTGGGCCATCTCTGGCATCTGTGCAGCACACAGAGGCCTCAACTGTACACTGCTCCCAAAATGCTTATCTGTAGCACAGAAGCAGAGTGGGGAATACCAGGCATACTCAACAGCCGGGCTCTGACTGAAGCTACCTCTTCTCACAGCAAGCATTCAAGACAGGAACGGCAGCAATATCCCACTCAAGCCCTGGCAGGAGGACTGAAAGACTCTGCCATTGCAAAAGAGAAAGATAAAGGTTAGAATGCTCTCAAGATAAATGTCACAGAAGTCTACCAGGAAGTGCCAGCACTCCACTCAAAATCCTGCAAGCTTTCAAAATGGAATTATCCACTCCAGTGACAAGGTTACTGCTTCAAGAGGTCTGTTTGAAATTATCTGAATTTCTGTGAAAACTGTTTAAAGAAAGCCCATGCCTTACTTATGCTGTTCTAATTCAGATACCTTGAAAATTAGCTGGATTATTTTTCCCTGAGCTAGATGCAAGGTTTACCACTATTTTTTCCACACACATGCTGTAGCAAGAGAAGCAGAGAATCAGAATCACAGAATGGTTGAAAAGGACCTCAAAGATCATCTAGTTTCAATCCCCCTGTCATGGACAGGGTCACTAGCCACCAGAGCAGGTTGCCCACAGTCACATCCAGCCTGGCCTTGAATGCCTCCAAGGATGGGGCATCCACAACCTCCTTGGGCAACCTGTTCCAGTGCATCACCACCCCTGAGTGAAAAACTTCCTTCTAATGTCTAACCCAAACCTCTTCTGTCTCAGTTTAAAACCATTTCTTCTCATCCTATCACTATCCACCCTCGTCAACAGCTCTTCCCCCTCCTGTTTATATGCTCCCTTCAAGTACTGCAAGGCCAGAATGAGGTCTCCCCAGAGCCTTCTCTTCTCCAAGCTAAATAAGCCGTTCCCCCAAGCTTTCTCCATAGAAGAGATGCTCCAGCCCTCTTAGTGGCTCTCCCCTAGAAATATATCTGCCAGTAATCATGCTACTGTAAAAAAGGATGTGTCAGTATGCAAGGTTGTAAGTGAGGCTGAAGGAAACTTACAAATGTCTCTAAGGACTAGAAACTGATTTGTCGCTGCTTGTTAGATCACTGGGAGGAAAATATGGGATGAGTACAGATAAGGCAAAGCAATCAGTTTGAAAACTGCACTTCCTCATATGGAATCTAACAAACAACAAACCTAACCCCTACTCATGCAAGCACTACACTTGAACCAGTGACTGATCACAACGCAAAATGCAGACAGGCCTTGATAACCACTTTGATAGCAAAAAGAACTGTTACAAAAAATGAAACGTGTGTGTACTTGTTTGTATCAAAGGATATTTATTTCATTCAGCAACACTACAGACATGATCCCATTTGTGAATATCTGCAGAACGTGCTTTGCACTTACCATGAAAGGATGTAACTGCATCGTTTTAAAAATTCTAAAGAAAGATAAAAGTCCTTTCAAAACCGATTTGCATTGATACAGTGGAATTTGCATTCAGTTGATTTCTGCAGTCAGAAGAACTCAATGGAATTAGAAAGAAAAATGATTTTCCTTAAAGTCTATATGAATTAGATTTTGATACTCGTTGCAACAGAAGAGAACACCAGTATTCTAGGTGTTTTCAATGGTATCAGTAAGACCCCTGCCTTCAAGCTAAGTACTAACAAGGTTCCAATACAGGGTTTCACTGCAAGGCCAGAATGGAATTATATGTTATATTCAACAGCAAATACTAATCCATACTTAAATATTTAAGCAATTCATGCTCAAAAATACATTTTTAATTGAATATTGCACTGACAAATCTACTGACTTTCTAGTCATACTTCCAGGATGTAATCTTTTTTTGTAAATCTAACTGGCTGTCCAGTCACAGCTTTCAACACATAAGTCACCGCTGCACTGATTGATTTTCTTCTTCATTCTTTTATTCTGTGTTAACATCTTCATATGAAAGTAAATAAAAAACTTACGAACTTGTAAAATCCAGATAAAGAGTATGCAAAAGAACAGCAGGCCATTTTAAAGTCAGGTCACTATGGTTAAGTTCTCTAGGAATCTTACATGAGTATGAAGATATTAAGATACAGTTTTTAAGCTTCTTGGATTATTCTTTATTTGAGAAATTAAAAACATTCAACTCAATGGATTACAGTGGGTGCCACAGTATAAGGATGTAAAACCATTAGAGAGCATTCAAAGGAGAGACACAAAGATGGTGAAAGGTCTGAAGGGCAAAGTGTACGAAGAGTGGCTGTGATCCTTGGGTGCGCTCAGCACAGAGCAGAGGAGCTGAGGAGAGCCCTCATGGTGGCTGCAGCTCCTCACAGGGAGCAGAGGGGCAGCGCTGAGCTCTGCTCTCTGTGACAGCAACAGGGCCTGAGGGAATGGCATGGAGCTGTCAGGGGAGGGCAGCTGGGGGTTAGGAAACGGTTCTTCATCAGAGGGTGGTGGGCATGGAACAGGCTGCCCAGGGCAGTGGGCACAGCCCCAAGCTGCCAGGAGTTCAAGATGAGTCTGGACAACACTCTCAGTTTTATAGTCTGATTTTTGGGTAGTGATGCGTGGAGCTTGAAGAAGCACAAGTTGACTTGATAATCCTCATGGGCTCCTTCCAGCTTGGGAGATTCTATGATTGCATAATACCTCTGATTGATGAGAGAAAGCTCTGGTACAGAGTACACTGTACAGAGCTGATGTATACTCCAATACTCCCAGTGCAAGAAGTGAACCTGTTGCAAGAGCATCTAATTTACTAAAAAGGCACATTATGTTGTTCACTGTGTCCTTTTGGGGTCTGGTCTTCAGTGAGATGATCCACAGGGAGTTCCTGTTGCTAAAGGCAGCTGAGCCAAGGCAGGAGCACAGGTGAAATACGCAGCTGCAACTCAGCCAGCCCAGCCCTATCAATACGGGCACCACTCATACAGCCCTTCCACTGGCACAGCAGAAACTCCATCCCAGGGAACAATCTGCCTGTGGGACCTAAAGCACCCACCTCCAACAGCTCTAACACTGCCTTTCCTTCCCTGGAGGATTCTCACAACCAGGATCCTGTATAAATCTGAATCTTGGCAATTCCACGAGAGCCAACACACTTAGCTCTGTTTGTTTTGCAGTTTAAGGGCTCACCTATGCCAGTGGGGAGAAAGTATGGCCTTAAATACACTCTTAAGACAGCAATTTAGAAAGACCTATGTTGTAATTTGTTGTTACTTTATCTTCAAAGTCGAAAATGAACCCCATGTCAAGTGGAAAACTACAGACACGGAGAGCAGACAGCTAACTGCTTCTTTTTGTTATCATTTCTATTTCTCATTTTCTCATGGTACCAATGCTGGAGAGACCAGAGCGACAAAGATGCAGCAACAAAACAGCAAAATGTTAAGCCAGGGACCAAAAAGAGGAGGAAGAGGACTTGGGTCTGCTGGACAATGAGACCAAGAACAGATGCAAAATACAGAAAGTAACTGGAAGAAAGAACTGCATCTGGACACTGGAACAAAGTTTCTGGGATAGAAATCATAAAAGGTAGATTGGCTACTACAAGAAGTGCCCAGAAACAGAAAAGGAATTTGCCACTCAGAACTGCCAGATCCCATGTAAACCCTATAAACTCTCCTCTACTGCTGCTC